AGAATAAAACAATAAATTTCATGTAATTTACCTATTTATTTATTCATACTCATTGTCTATTTGAAAATAACTTATAAAATCATGTTATTGTTTTAAATTTAAAGAAAAAAAAAGATGTTCTTTGGACAAAATTGGAGCTGAGAAAATCTCAGTCTGAGATCACTAAAATATGTAGCAAATGCCAAGAAAAAAATGTATTGTTCTTTTTATCATTTTCACACAAATCTTAAAATCGACTATGACTAATAAGAAATTATTGTTTTATCTCCGTGAACGGAATTTGGCCTGGAATGTGTTCCCAAAATTCGTTTGATGTCATTGAAAAAATGTCGACGGCGGTATTTCTGTGTTGATTTAATTATGAGCCTTCGCAGTGTTCAAACGAACCGGCAAGACGGCCTTTGCTCAATGCTTCAACTAGAATGTGAAGCCGTTGTTCTCGTTCAGTGTGTCGCCGTTCAAGCGATGACACCTGCAATTTGTGTTTTGTTGGCATTTTCAAACTTATAATAAATAACATGTTTTTTTCGTTAAACATTTGTGGCAGTGAATTTTGTGGTGGTAATAATCTCCAATAAAACATATACGTGTGTGCGTAAGTATTTTTTTAATGTGATGTTAGTGTAATATGTATTGCAAAATCAAAATAACTGGAAAATATGTTTCAAAACAAATTCTGCTGGTGATAAACAATATAACTACCATCTAAATCTTATTATAATAAATTTAACGCTAAATTCTCACAACCAAAAAAAAAAAACAAACAAACACCAAAATTAACGTCAAATTTGAGTTGTTTCTGTGCTCGTGACATACATTTCTCTTTCTTCATTTTATCACAGAAGGTTTGCATTGAGGACAATATGAATTGTTCTAATCTTATTATGTTCAAATTAAATTCAAACTTGAATGTACCAAGAGGAAAAAACACTGTCAAAACATTCAATTAAATCGCAGTTTTCATTTTGCTCCATGATTTCGGACGGTTTCTCATTTCATTTACAAATTACCGATACGAAATAAAGAAGAAGAAAAAAACATAATAATAAACACACTGTTATCTCTATATAATTTAAGTGTGTCAGCTATCACTATGGAGCATCATAAAATAACAACAAAATGTGGAAACAAAACGTCTATAAAACACATTACAAAATGTTGATTAATTATGATAATTGTAACCGCAAACTTTTTCAGTTTAAGTGTACCGAATGACGGAATTCAGTGCAGGTGTTTTTTTTTCTTCATAAAACCACTATCATTTCAAGTGCCAGCGGAAATTGACTATCAAAAAATATGATCTTGACACAGACTACATTTATCCCTCGTCTCGAAATGATAAGCCAATTGAGATTTTGTGAACTTTGAAGTGCATATAAAAAAGAAGCATGTTAGTTAATTTTGTTATTGCATAATGTCAATCGTTTGATGTGCTCTGTATGAGATCTATCTATAGTTATGGTTTTTTAAGCGGTGATGGTGTTGAATGCTATGACTTTTTTACCTTTTGCTTCAATGCAAAATAATCGATTGGGATTTTATTGTGCTTTTGAATAATTGCAAATGCTTCATCACGTTCAGCTAAGCGCTGTTCCAATAGTCGAACGGTTTCCTTATTTGCTGATAGTTCACGTTCATGGGCCGATTGAAGAATTTTCAACTGAAAATTATAGTGAAATTGGTGTTTTTTTTATGGTGGCCATGAAAATATTCGCAGAATATATAATAATAGTCTTACATCATTCAAACGCTTGTCGTGTAATGTTTTGTAATCGATTTCAAGTAGCTTTATTTTTTCCTGTAATTGAACGTTAGACGGACTGGTCTTTTCGGTAAATTGGGCTGGATCATATGGCTTCTTTGTTGTTTTATCTACACGATTACCTGGAAACGGAAAGAACCATAATTTAATATTTTGAATTTGTTTGTGTATCGCTTTGAACTTACTTTCATTCTCCTTCTGTAGCTTTTTGATGGTTTTCTTGCATTCATCAAGTTCACGTGTCAAACGTTGTAGTGCTTTTTCTTTAATTGCCAAATCGACTCGCATTCCGCGCACGGTGGCCAGAAGGTGTGTTTCTTCTTTTGTTGAAATGGTTTGTTTTGTCGATTTTTTGGTTGGCACTGGTTTCGGTGCTGGTGAAACGGCCGGTGATTTTGGTTCAGTTTGTGTATGAACGCTGGATGTCATGCATGATTTCTTATCGACAAGTGACAGCGTTTGGGTGCCACATGATTGTTGATCAATCATGTAATTGTTATTGGACGATTTATGTCGAGCCTGTGATTCAATCTTCTCATGCAAAATTTGATTGATTTGCTGTAAACTGGACATTTTTAATTGAGAAATTATTATCGATCATTATTACTTCACTAATATATTACGGTAATTCCCGTGGAAAAAAACGAAATGTTTCACAAATAAATATTTAAATTATTATCAATTTTTTATGAACTTTTAACCTCACGTTCATTTTTGTGTTAAAATTTATAAACTGAAAGTCAAGTATGAAATAACATTTATATTATCGTTTTGCAAAGAATTGAAATACGAAGAAAACAATTCATTGGAATTCCCTATATTCATTCATTCATTTAAAAAAACTTGAACTAATCCTTAATCAACTTTTTTTGCTTATTCAAGAATTATTAATCGCAATAATTAACAACTATTAATCATATGAATCGATATATACCTCAAGACTTGTGTTTCTAAGTCGCTAATGTGTGTCTCATATTTCGATTGAACTGAACTAAAGCGAGATTGAACATTGGCTAAAATAAGTTGTGCTTTCCGATCTTGTTCTTTGGCATCGCTTTCCAGTTGTGCAATCCGTTGTTCCAATTGACGACGACCGGCTGACATTTGTGCTTGATCTTCGGCCTTCTTTGAACCAACACCTTTTCAACAAGATATTAAAATACAAAAAGACTCAGCGTTAAATAAATGCATTTTAAAATCTATGAAAAATGATTTACCCAACAGCATTTGCATGGCGTCTGGATTTTTTCGTGCCAAAATGCGTTCCATTTCTTTGCATTGTCGTTGCAAGTCCATGATTTGGCGTCCATTTGATTCAACCTCATCAGTTGCACGTCGTTTTTCTTCTCTAGCTGTATCCAATTCGCGTTGTAGCATCGCTTGCAGCTCAAGTGCATCGGCTCGATCCTTTCGTGCCGATTGCAATTCAGTTCGCAGAATATTCGCACACTCATGCAAATGTTGGGCATCAATTTTAAGTCGATCCATTTCATCTTGGATTTGATGGTTTTTATCTCGCATTGATCGATGCATTTGCGATACATTGTCATATTGCAATCGTAAACTATGCAAACGTTCTTCGGTGTCTTTTAAAGTTTCTCGTAAACTTTCAATTTGTTGTTCAAGAGCACGTTCCCTTGTCCAAACGTGTCCAGAAAATGAGCTGGATGTCGACATTGCCGAAGTGATCGGAGTTGTGGGCGAAGCAAGTGTGGCAACTGATGGTGAACGGCTTGATCGTGGTTTTGAAAGTATCGGCAACGACATTGCACCATTTTCATCATGATATACATTTGCTTCGATTTTGAGACAATTCTTTATTGAATCGTTCACATTGTTGTTATTATTATTGTTTTCGTAGTCATTTACATTAAACATTGACTCTGGCGACTTTTTATTCGGTATTTCCAGTTCAAGTACAGATTCATCGATCGCATTTTGTGACACTGCTATTGGTGGTGGTGTTATTGTTGTTGTTAGTGGTGCCGTCATTGGTAATACAGGCTCGTTTTTTCGTTTCTGATTTGTGTTCTTGGTCGGTGTGGCTATTTTCGTACGTGACGTACGAACTCGATCCCCCTGTAAAGACAGTAAACAACAAAAATAAGCCATTTTTATTGAAATTATAGACACATGCGTATTTATATCTTGACATTTTCTGCGGCTGTTAAACACAAACAAATGTTAAGCTATTTTAAATTCTGCAGAAGAATAAAAGTAATCAATTAATTGCGATGCGGCGCACACGTAAGAGATTACGCATAATCAACATTTCATTCAACCAATCTACATTAAAAAAACATATATCAGCAAAAAAAGCGAAGTGGCAATCTGTGTGTATTTTTTTGTTTTGGTTTCTCTCATTTCACATTCCTTATCGCATATACTCTTGCCGACTACTCTCAACCAGTATATTTGAAATAAAATCACTTCTCATTTTTCCAGAGTTTTATTTTCGTTACATCTTCGTTGTTGTGTGCTTGAATTGCCAATCGAACGTTACCGTTTGCCCCTTCCACTGGTTATTATAATATCACAAACCGCATCTCTTCCACCAGCCATGTATTTCTCGTTTGAATTGGCCGGTGCAGAGAAGCACTGTCATGCGTTGATATTCTATATAAAAGCCGAACACAAAACTAAGTGAAGCTTCAGTTGACTGACCGGTTGCGGTCGAGCATTTTAAAACGAGTACGGATTTTTTTGTGCGTATTTATTTCTGTTAATTTTAGTAAATCTATAAGAAAAAATCAGTGATTTCTTTTCAAAATGGAAAAGTGTCTGATTGCAATATTTGTGATCTTCAATTTGATCTTTGTGATCGATGCTGCACCACGAGCCCTTGATGCCAGCGAATTGAGGAATTTGAGTGCAATTGCTGACATCGAAACTCCAGTTCGATATGATGGCGCCCAATTGTGGAGTGTTCATTTTTACGATGATCGAACCAAAAGTGTGGTCATCAGTTTAAAGAGAAATTTCGGTTAGTGTTATTCAAATTTTTATGAATGTACATTTTATGCTATGCTACTACGGTACATGGTGCTTTTCCAATTAAAATGATGTTTTCCACATTATGATGTTAGTGTTTCATAACTCATCTGTGCAACAGACAAAATTGCAAAAATTAAACAGACAAAATTACAAAATAAAAACAACAAAATTGCACTCTAAATCATGTATTAATTACATGCCTTGCTACCGTTTAATTGTGAAGAGAGAAAGAGAGGAAAAAATAAATGCAAACCGTGAACCACGTGATTCATTCGGAATGACGTGCATTTGTTAGATTCTCATCTTTTGTTTGGCCATATCGCATGCGTTCATTGAACAATGAGAAAGAAAGCGAGAGTACGCAATAAAACGGAAAATTTGTTTTTTTTGCTCATATCATTTTTCATTCAATTATTGCGGCCAATAAAATATAACAAAAAGAAGGAAAAAAAAACACCGATTGCACATAACTTTTCATAGAATTATTTTATGTCTATGACGATTTGTCCATTATAGCCCTGCAGTAACTGTGAATTGTAATTTTGCAATGCAATTTTATGATGAACAGTGAATTATTACACACTTGTTGGAAGTTTTTTTTTTCGAGAGAAAAAAAAAGTAATTTCGTGAAATTTTTATAGACCAAATTGTTGTATTTTTATAACTTCCATATTTTTTTAGACGAAAAAAGAAATATTTTGTTCAATTTACTTTCATCGCTCCGGATCAACTATATTAATAATATATTTTTTGTTGTTTTTTTTTCAGATGTTGCACTATGGGGCACGAATGGTTCCGAAGTTGATGTGTTTGTAAAGAAAAATGTTATCGATGGTGTGCGTCAAGTGTTGAATGACAATAATGTTGGATATTCCATCCTCATTGAAGATATGCAAAAACAAATCGAAACCGAAAATCCACCGCAAGCGGAAATTGAAGCTTTCCAAAATCGAAACGGTACGTAAAATTCATAGTTTTTTTTTTAAATAATTTGTCAAAATTCACAAATGACACCAGACACACATGACTTCACACAACTGTACAAAACGCAACGACACTTTCATTTGCTGAGCTCTGAGGCCAATTAAAACATGTTTTTTTTCGGAACTAACAACTAAAATAAATCGATTAAAATCAACAAAGAACGTGGCGTCACCACAAATAAAAAAACTACAACAGTTAAATTAACTTTTTACTAAATATGCACATTTTTATGAGTTGAAAAATCACTTAAAATTCGCAAAACGATCAAACAATCTCCGTTACTCGATCCACTCGTGAAAAGTTGAATTTTGAAACTGATGGAATGAAAAAAATTCGAAAAAGAAATGTCAACGGATGTGTGTGTGAGAGAGTGAGTACTTGTTTGCGCAGACGATTTGAGTGCGTAAAAACCATTCAACGAGAAATAATCCGAGAAAAAAAAATCAAAAAACCATTTCATATGAAAATGTTGCACGTAAAAAACGGAGAAGTAACGGTTGTTTTACTATGCATACGTTTTTTTTTCTCTCACTTGCCGTAGTGAAATGTAAATCGCTTGTTCTTTGCGTGACAGTGCGATTAAAAAAAAACTAACAAATTGCACCTTTCGTGTTATGGATTACAATTAAATGAAATTCATTGAGTGCAAGCATGTGGCACACCTTCCCTATGCGTTCGCGGCCTCCATTGCAAACACTGAATCGACCCGAATGAGAAACGGGAAAGAGCAAAACAAGAATGAACAATAACACATATTTTGTTAGTCATCATCGTAATTCTCCTTGTTTTTGATTGTTCGGTTTTGTTGCACATTTACCTTATCGTGGCCACCACAAATTCTTTTTTTCTCTCTGTGGATGTGTGAATGTGATTGATTTTGGTGTACGATAGGCCATGACACTGATTAGAATACGAATGGTAAATAGTGTTGAAAAAAAGTCATCATAAACAGCGTCAAAAATAACGCATTTGCATTGGTAATGGGAACTATGGCATTAAGTGTAATAAAGGATGTAATACATGCTCATTTTGTTTGATCGATATATTTATTCATTGCAAACACAGTGCCGAATCATTTTGCGAAAATACTGCTGCATCGCGTGAATTGAATGTGTTTGTAGGGAAAAAAGGAATAAAATAAAAGGCAATGCTTTGAATTTTTCATATTTGGAAATGTGTAAAAAAATTTGTGAGTTCTCGTTTGTACACTCAACTCAATTCTATTATTATGCACGCTTTTATAATTCACTTAATAAAAAAAACAACAACGATGTTGAATTGAAGTATTTCGTAATTTCCGAAATCACCTCACAAACACTTGAGTAATAAAATCAATTTTGATTGAAATGGAGTTTTTGCACGTTTTTTTTTTGGTTGTTTCCGCTTTAAATGCACCTCGAGAATAATAACCTTTTGTTGCTTCTTCTGCTTTATCAAACAAAACCAAAATTTCGTTGAACAAATTGAAAAATTAGAAAACCAAAACAAACGAATAAATTGTTTACAGCACGATTTACTGGTTTGTGGCGCAACTATCAAATGCCCGAAACAATTTCGAAATCAGCTTATCAACGTCTTCGAGGTGCATATATGGGCTATAATTCATTTGACGATGCAATGGAAAATTGGCCAGATGCTCGATGGGGTAATAAATTCATATTCTCTATTTTAATTCCTATCTCATTTCGTCATTCGTTGAAGACTATGCGAATCATAAAATCGGTGACGAATGCACTTACTCCACTTTGTGAATGACCAGACCAAATCAAACTGTATCATTCATTGGTAATGTAAACAAAAAAAAATCATAATATGCGAAAATGTGTGTGATATTAAAAGACAAAAACCACAACCAAATGTGTTATGTTTATCACTTTCTTTCAAAACACATACTGAATGCTTTATTTAAATAATTTCTCTTTCTGTCGTCAGTTGGTTTTTCGAAATTTTAATTTTTTTTTGTGTTGTTGTTTTTACTTTTGCTTTAACATAAAACAAAGTCGAAATTTTCAAGCGCAAAAAAGCAACAACAACAAGCAGGCAAATAAAAACCAGTTTAGAAGACAAGAAAAAGACTGATTGAGATAGATTTTGTTTTGAAATTAGAGAGATTTTGATGAAAGTGCACACGCATGTTCAAAAGAAAGTGTTAATTGATGCAATATACATTCGTTCGCTTATGGCTCTGTTTGCTTTATTTTTTCGTCATTTTTAGGTCATCGTTTAACTTGGCGTGCATACCATCGTATCTCTGATATCTTTTCATATTTGGACTATTTGGTTGCAACATACCCTGACTTGTGTTCACTTCAAACGATCGGACACTCAGCCGAACGACGTCCATTAAAAGTTTTAAGGTGCGAAAAATGAGCAGCGTAAAATAAAAGTTCTTTTTTTTTGCCATAATAACTTGCTGATCAAAACAAAATCATTTGAAAACCCGATATGCAAACTTTTCATTTGTTTACAGAATATCGAATGGAAATTCAGGAAATAAGGCCATTTGGATTGATGGTGGTATTCATGCACGTGAATGGATTAGTCCGGCATCGGTAACATACGTTGTGAACGATTTGGTTGAAAATTGGGACGATCAACCGGCACATATTCAAAAGGTGAATTGGTATGTGTTGCCAGTTCATAACCCAGATGGATACGAGTACACTCATCGCACCGATCGTTTATGGCGTAAAAGTCGCTCGAACAATAATAATCAACGTTGTTCAGGCGTTGATTTAAACCGAAATTATGGTTATCACTGGGGTGGCAAAGGAACAAGCCGAAATCCGTGTCAAGAAATATTTGCCGGTCGCGGTCCATTCTCAGGTTTGTAAATATGATAAAAATATCTTTTGCATGACATCAATTAATAGAAAAAAATAATTCTATTCAGAGCCCGAAACCGCAGCCGTTAAACAGTTCTTTGATCGAACCAAAGAAAAATTCGATGCATTCCTTACATTTCACAGTTACGGACAATTTATTTTGCATCCATGGGGATATGACGATGTTGTGCCAGCCGATTATAAAGATTTGGATCGTGTTGGCCGAGAAGGTGCACAGGTTGGTGACCAAATATTTTTCATTAATAAGTTGAAAGCATTTTGAATAAATAATGTGACCACTTTTGGTATATTTATAGAATATGAAAGCATTAGATAATCAAGTTTACCAAGTGGGACCATCGGCAGCATTATTATATCCAGCTGCAGGTGGTTCAGACGATTGGGCGAAAAGCATTGGCATTAAATACAGTTATACAATTGAATTGCGTGACAAAGGGCGTTATGGATTCGTATTGCCAGCCCATCAAATTGAGCCAACAGCCAAAGAGGCTCGTGCATTCGTATTTACGGTATCGCGTGCGGTGGCCAATCTTCGACGAAAAGAATAACGGCACAGCAGAAGAAAAAAACTTCATTTTTGCAGCTTTTGCGTTTCAATTCCACTAATCATTAGTCAATTAAAATTAAACTTTCAATGCAATTAAAAGTTTTCCAAACCGTGCCATTTACGGTACGTAGGATATTAAAAAAAAACCATCATCAAGCCAACGAAGAAAACAAAAACAAAATATTGGTTGTTGGCGCAAAATAAGAACATGCTTGAAAACTAATTGTAACCGACCCCATATTAATTTATTTATATATTTTAGTGTAGTGAATAAATGAAAAAAAAAAATACAAATTTACAGAAGAAAAAACGATGTATAATGCGTATTTGGCATCACTTACTTGTCCGTCAGATTCAAGGTCGTCAATTGTATGCAGTGTTGCTTCATCACGACTGTCGCTGCTCTGTGACTTTGTGGTGTTTTGCGGTGTTGTTTTCTCCGATATTGTCTCCAAATGCTCATTTAAATGCCATGTATTATACACATTGGTACGTTCACCTAATCCATTCAAATCGGCCGTATCATCGATATCATTTTCATTGTCCAGTTCACTGCGATTCAAATTCGATTCGATTTGTTGTTGTTTTGACATCAATAATTCAGCCTCACGTAATATTTCATCGACACTACGCTCGTCCGATTCGTCTGACAATCGATTTATCTCTTCGAATATACTGTCAATATCCAATTCACTGGCCACATCATTTTCATTCGATATCAAACACTTTTGCTCTTGATTTAAAAATTCAATAATTGAACTGCTTCCATTTGTAATATCATCGGCATTGCTTGATGACGGTTGTGTCGACAACGATGCATCCTTACCCTGTTCTGGCAGTTGTTTCATTTTGTTCCATTCATTTGAACGAAGAAAACAACACTTTTCATTCAAAAACAATACACACTCATTGTATTTTAAATTAAAATCACTTTTCAAACATTTGGACGTATTTCATTTCATATGGACAGAATGCAAACAAATAACAAACAATATTTATTAAAAAAAAATAATATCGAATCGATTTTAACACATATGGTTTTTTTTTTTTAAATGTCGATTCGAAATAATTGAGAATTGACAGAGAAAGATGCAATTTGTGTGCGAACCAGACGATTGGGATGCACTTATTTTTGCTATACTTTTTGTTTGACAAGTAAAACACAAACATAAAGCGAAATACGTAATATTTGGATGAACAATGTTGAACAGGCGCGTCAATTGCGCTGAATTGCTGAACAGATGCTACGAAATACACATTTTGACATTTTATTAGGGTGCGTTACAAAACCGAATGTTTCATGCCACTCAGAGAAATTTAATAATGTAAACAATTGTGTAGAACATTGACTTACTAGCCCTGTGTGATTAAAAATTATTCAGTAAATAATTAAAAATTTAATTTCATTTGAAATTTATTTGATTTGTTCCAATAAAAAGGTTAAACATTGTGACAGATAGTAAACTGTCAGCACAACAACAACCACAAGTGACAGATTGTAAGCTTCAGTCGAAACACACGTGTGGTTTGTTGATTTTGTGTTTTTTAATGATAATTGAAACCGAATTGAACGCAACAAAAAATGAGTAATTTAATCGAAGTGGCAATCACAAGTGATACAAACGGTGCACTATGGACTTGTTGTGCATGGGATCCGCAAGCTGGCACACAATTATGTACTTACAAAGGTAAAAAAACTCAAAACAAATTCAAAATAATTTCCATAATTTGAGTGTATCAATGTTAAAATTTCAGGTGGTGGAACAATACCGTCGCACGGTTTTGCGTTTATCAACCAACAATTCATCATAACTGCAGATAATTCAAAGCCATTGTTACACATTTGGCCTGTAAATAGTCAAGAGCAAGTGTCTGGATTACGATTTGTTGTGCCTGGTAAAGTGACATCATTGGCCGTATCACCGGATGGTGTGTATTGTGTGGCGGCCGTTAGTGAAATCATTTACATCTGGAAAATAAGCTCAGGCGACATGCTTGCAATGCTTTCGCGTCATTATCAAACCGTATCATCGCTTGTATTCACCGATGATGGTTCACATTTCATAAGTGCTGGCCAAGACGGAATGATGTTGGTATGGAAATTGAGCAGCATTTTAACCTCAACTGGTTATAGTAATCAAGAAACGGCACCACTGTATTCATTTTCCGATCACACACTTCCAATCACCGATGTCTTCATTTCGAAAGGTGGTATGCGCGCTTGGGCCGCATCAGTTTCATTAGATCGTACATGTCGCATTTACGATTTAGCGTCTGGTACGCTACTTTTGAATTTGGTATTTCCGGAGGCACTTACTTCCATTACCATTGACAATTTGGATACAAATGTTTATGTTGGCACAATTGATGGAAATATTTTTGTATTTAGTCTTCAATCACCGCCACGCACAAGAGAATATCATTTAAATCATGAAACATTGACAACAAAACAACGATTTATTGGCCATAAAGGGGCTGTTACAACACTATCCATTTCTTTAGATGGTGAAACGTTGATGTCGGGCGGAAAGGATGAAACAGTACATTTTTGGCATATTCCAAGCAAACAAATCATTCGAACCATGCCGCATAAGGGTTCAATTACAAATGCTCAATTCGTTTTAGCACCAAAAGCCATGTTCGATCAAGAAACAAAACTACATTTAATGGCCAACAATTTTAAGCGAATGATTGACACACAATCGATTAATACGAAAAATTTTGTGGTTGAAGTTTTAGTTTCACATCCAGCCGATGCAAGCATTAAACGTGGAATTGGTAACGAAAATATTGGCACGATTAATAGTGTTGGCATGTCTAGTGAAACAGCAGTTGGACATGTAAATGGAACTATTGATTTGAATGAAGTGGAACAATTGCGAGCCGAAGTCAGACGATTGAAAAAAATCAACAAAGATTTATTCGAACATTCGGTTAAATCGATTTTTAACAATGGAAAATAATTCAGGTTATAAATTGAAAACAAAGGAAATCTATTATAATGTTAAATTGTAATGAATAAAACACATTAAATAAATAAAAAAAATTCGCAAAAAACATCAGAAAACGAATGCTCTTTGAAAACTATTCAGATGATTATTGAAAGAACGCGCTCCACTAATTAAGCTCTGTCGAATTGAACCTAACCTCAAATTGAAACTGTGTGATAGTTTTGTTATGACTTTTCTTCATGATAGTAAAAAACTTCTTCGTGATTTTGTAGTTGTATTCAACGGGACTTTCAAAATAAAACTCATTTATCACAGACAATTGATAAAGAATCGACGGAAATAACAAGCGATCGAAGTAAGTAATTCAATGAATTCATTTTGTTGTTCTTGTGGCAAATGTGTTTAATTTTTTTTTTAATCACACACTTCTTATTTTGACTATGACGCACTATTCGTATAAAGTCTATTATTAAAAAGATTGAAAAGAAAGTGAATGTCATTATTGGTCAAATACAAAGAGTTCATTGATAAAGTGTTACTTTTAAATTTATATATAAATTTAAAGTGTGCATTTACGCACACACACACACCGGCATGCAAAACATTTGATTATATATGTATAAATGTTCTGTGGAATGAAATAAAACGCAATTGATATGAATTCCAAATTTAATGAAAAATATGATATTCTTTTTGTTTCGGTAAAAATATAAAGTAGCTCGTGATCGAAGTTCATTGGCAAGTTTATTTAAAGCAATTCATTTGCGTTTTCAATTTTGTTTTCATGTGATATCAACACTTTTATCGTCAGTTTTGTTGTACAGTGTCACACCTATACACATAAAAATTGCTGTATTCACTCTGCTGTCACAATATTCTTAATCATTTAATCTGTGTTATTCAACTGCTTGTGATCATTGTTCGCCATATTTGCAGTCGAATTGAATGTGATAAACGTGATGGGTCTATTTGAATTTATTGGAATTGTTGTAGTTTTATACTATTTGATTAGTATAATTTTGTGGATTGTTCTTGATTCGGATATTGAATTATGGATAAAAGAGCGATGGGGAAAACCGATTGGTAAGATCAAATATCGCCGATAGAGATAGACAAATGGAAAATGTGAAATATTAAATTGCCGTGGTTACTTATTAGATTCGTTGAGAGGCAAAGTTGTATGGATAACCGGAGCATCGAGCGGCATTGGAAAGCAATTGGCAATTGAATTGGCAAGAAATCATGTTAAATTGTGTATATCCGCACGAACTGTTGACCGTTTGCAAGCAGTCAAAGAAGAATGTTTGAAACAATCAAAACTATTGCAACCAAATGATATTTTGGTATTAAAAATGGATATGCTTGATATTGATCAACATCAACGCTATTTCGATACGGTGGTAACGCATTTTGGTGGGCTTGATATATTGGTGAATAATGCAGGACGATCACAGAGAGCATCATTCGAAGAAATTGACCTGAAAGTGGACCGAGAATTGTTTGAATTGGATGTATTTAGCATTGTCAATTTGACACGCATTTACGTAAAACATAGCAAAGGTCGAGGTCATGTGGCGTGCACATCAAGCTCGGTTGGATTGATATCAGTACCAAATTCAGCCACATATACGGCTGCAAAGCATGCCATTCATGTGGGTTTCATTTCTATTTTTTTTTTGTAAAGCGTTGATGTTGAAATGTGTGCATGAAAAATATTATTTATTTTCTTAGGGTTATTATGAAACACTTAAACTCGACCACCCAAGTATGGATGTTACATTATTTTGCCCCGGTCCAACACACACCGAATTCTTGCAAAATGCATTCACCGGCAAACATGGACAGGTTTATAATCGTACGGTTCAACCCACCGACCGCCGTATGACATCTGAAAGATGTGCCGTACTGATGGCCACAGCACTCGCGAATAAGTGTCAAATCAATTTTGTTGGACCATTTCCAGTACCGGCTTTGATGTACATTTCATGCTATTATCCAAATTTGCGTAAATTGTACGAAGAAAATGATACAAAATCAATGAAAATGTTAAACATTTTGATTTTTATTGCAGAGTTTTGATGATTTTGGGCAAATCAGGCCTAGCCAAAATTCGTGATACAAACGTACCTCAGAACTAATACAGCAGCACATATCAACCGATGAAACATTTATATTTCGTTTTCTCTCTTTTTTTGATAACAGACATAGTAGATTGTTTTCACAAATATATATGTAGAAGAAAATAGAAATCAACGATGTTTTTTTCCCGATAACCTTCTATGGTTATTTTGCGGCTAATAATGTTGAACAATTTATCACATTAAAAGTATATTGAAATCACAAATAGCATTCTGTTTTTTTGTTCATTTTTAAATTGTTTTTGTACTAAACTACGGCATGTGAAAATATTTTAAATATAAATAAAACTGGAGAACCATTAGTGCCAATCACTCAATTATCGAATGGATATCGTGTTAATTTTCAATTCGGATTTCGATTTAATTTATATTTAGACAACTTCTGCTGACAATGAGATTCATTTGCAAAACTGTCATGATTCCATTCAACTGCACATTTATAATTTAAGATTCAGAACACATTTGTCACGAATCAGCTAACATCTTTCTAAAAATATTCCATTAAAATAAAAATAAAAATCTGAATTAATTCTTACCAATCAGCCTAAAAAAATGAACCGGTTAAATCAACGCCTTCTTCAGTTACCCGCAAAGTATACTCAGTTCAACAAACAATCCAGTACAAATGCGACTGCATCACAAACCACCAAATGCCAACGACAAAGACCATCATCACTTATCGATGAAATAATTCGAATTAATCATGCCGGTGAATTGGGAGCTGATCGAATTTATGCCGGTCAATACGCTGTACTTGGCAAAACACCAGTCGGACCGACTTTGAAGCATATGTGGGAACAAGAGAAAGTACATCGAAACGAATTTGAGAAATTGATCCGAGAATATCGCGTTCGACCAACTGTTATGACCCCGATTTGGAATTTAGCCGGTTTTGCATTGGGCGCTGGCACAGCGCTATTGGGCGAAAAAGCAGCGATGGCATGCACTGTAGCTGTTGAAACTGTTATCGTTGAACATTACAACGATCAATTGCGACAAATCATGGAAAATCCAAATGTTGATAAGGTAGTTTCATTTGATTTTGTTTTGTTTTTTTCTTCTTCTCATAAACTCATTTTATTTCAGGAACTTATGGCTACGATAACAAAATTCCGTGACGAGGAACAAGAGCATCATGACACGGGCATCGATCATGGTGCCGAACAGGCTCCATTCTATAAAGCATTGACCGAAGTCATTAAATTTGGATGTAAAACAGCAATTGCAATTTCGAAAAAAATTTAATTTAAAAACCACTTGTTCGGTTCAATTTAGAAACACAAAATGTTTGTTTTAATGAATGCTTAAAATATTAAATGACCTTATCTATTATGTAATATGACGTTGTTGTTAGTTAATAAATCATTTGTTTTATATTGGAGCACTTGAATGGTATTATCGTATCACACATATCGCATTCGACGTGCACCTATTTTGAGAAATGTGTGGAAAGGGTATAAAAAGGTAGGAATGTTCAGTTAATGGAGTTCAGTTTACGTGAAGCTTTTTTCTGGTGAACAGTGGTTAGAAAAATGGCCCAAAGTACGCTAAGTGTAATATTCTTAATTTTCAATTGTTTCCTTTTCATTGAGAGTGTTCCAACAACTCTTGAAACTCCTGTTCGCTACGATGGTGCTCAGTTGTGGAATGTCAGCCTGTCTGATGAACAAACGAGAAAAATTGTTTTTGATTTAGAAAATGAATTTGGTTTGTGCTTATTATTTCTTGAATAAAAAAACTCGCCAAACATAAAGTGTAAAAAACATTTTTATTGCCAATTTGTGCCATTTTTTATTTCTTTTGGTAGATGTATCATTTTGGCGCACTAGCAACGCCGCAGCCGATATGTTTTTAAAGAAATCGGTCATCGAGAGTGCTCGTCAAATTCTTAATGAAAATAATATTGAATATTCGGTTCGCGTTGAGGATATGCAAAAGCACATCGAGCGTGAGAGTCGACAACCATACAGAGACGGCCAACAAAATTATGGTTTGTAATTTTTTTCAATTAAAACAAACGCAATCGAAGAACGTTTTGAAAAAAAAAATGTTGTAATTAGTAGATTCTTATCAAAATACCAAGTATACTTCAAATTCTGATTGGTAATTAGCAATAATAGCGATAAGTTTTTTTTTCTCGTCAATTTTATAGCGCTCTATTATTTTGATTTTTTTAGGTTTAACTTGGGATGCTTATTATTCGCTCAACGATATCTTATTGTTTTTGGACAATTTGGTTGAAAAATACCCGAACTTGTGCTCTCTCGAAACGATCGGATACTCACACGAAAATCGACCATTGAAAGTTTTAAAGTACGTAACAAATAACATATAAAAATTGCTGAAATATTTTGTTAATTAATGATTATTTTGCAATAGAATATCGAACGGAAAGTCAGGAAATAAGGCCATTTGGATTGATGGTGGAATTCATGCACGTGAATGGATTAGTCCGGCTTCAGTAACATACATTGTGAACGATTTGGTTGAAAATTGGAATAATCAACCTGCATACATTCAAAATGTGAATTGGTATGTGTTGCCAGTTCATAACCCAGATGGATATGAATACACTAGAAATACGAATCGTATGTGGCGAAAAAATCGCTCGAAAGGCAGCAACAGCAAATGTTTTGGCGTTGATTTAAATCGAAATTTTGGATTCAAATGGGGTGGAAAAGGTGTATCACACGATTCATGCAGTGAAATATATGCGGGAAGTGGTCCATTTTCAGAACCTGAATCGACAGCGGTTGCAGACTTCTTTGCCAATAACACAGAAAATTTCGAAGCATTCCTTACGTTCCATAGTTATGGTCAATGGATTTTATATCCATGGGGCTATGATAATGGTATTCCAACAGACGATGCCGAAGAATTGGATTTAGCTGGCAGAGAGGCCTCAGAAGTAAAATATCGTGAAATATTTTTGTCTACGTAACATATAAAATAAAATTGACATTTTTTTTCAGAATATGAAAGCACTAGACGGTCAAGTGTATACAGTCGGGAACTCAGCAGATTTGTTGTACCCAGCCGCAGGTGCTTCTGATGATTACGGAAAAAGTATTGGCATCAAATACAGTTACACAATTGAATTGAGGGACACGGGACGTTATGGATTCATATTGCCACCCGAATTTATTCTACCAACCGCCAAAGAGGCCCATACATTCGTTCACACTATTGCTCGAATTGTGGCAAAATAAGATGTCGAAAGTATAAATGAGAAAAATAAATTTTTGTCACCTTCGTCTATATTTTGTGTTGATCGACGAATGGAATAATTAAGTACCTTACTATTTTAGCAAAATATATTTTCGACAAAAAAGTCTTATCTTCATAATGCCTATAATCTATGATGACCGCCACGTACTTATATTTTTTTATTTATAAAATCGGAAAAGACGATTTATTTTTCATTGAGCCTAAACTATTGGATAAGCATTTTTGTGTTCACATTAACTGTGCACATACAAACTTTGTGTCGACATCCATGATTCATGTGACATCTTCAGACCCCATTCAATAAATCATTTGTTTTAAATTGGAGTACTTGAGTTTTTTTTATCGTATTACACGTCGAATTGATAGTGCACGAGGAATGTGTTGAAATATCGGAATCTGTCGATAGGCTATAAAAGAAACGTTAAAAATGTCAATTGATATCAGTTAACATTGTGCTTTTGGGTAGACAGTGGTTAGAAAAATGGCGCAAAGTACGCTAAGTGTAATACTCTTAATTTTCAATTGTTTCCTTTTCATTGAGAGTGTTCCAACACCTCTTGAAACTCCTGTTCGCTACGATGGTGCTCAGTTGTGGAATGTCGACCTATCTGATGAACAAACGAGACAAATGGTTTTTGATTTAGAAAATGAATTTGGTTTGTACTAATTATTTAAATTTCTTCAATAAAAAAAACGCGTCAAAACTAAATTGCAAAGAAATTCTTAGTTGTCACTAATCTGTGTCGTTTTTATTCATCTGGTAGATGTATCATTTTGGAGCACCAGCCATGCCGAAGCCGATATGTTTTTGAAGAAATCGGCAATCGAAAGTGTTCGTCAAATTCTTAATAAAAATAATATTGAATATTCGGTACGCGTTGATGATATGCAAAAACGAATTGAAGAAGAGAGTTCACAATTGTATGGAGAAGAATCACTTTATGGAAACAATAATAAAAGTTAGTAATTATTTGTAAGCAGCTTTTTACGATTTCATTTATTTTGTAATTTAAGAAATATTCTCTTCAAAAAGTGTACCTATTGTAATTACATTTTATTAGGATTTTTTTCTTATCAGTACTACTTGTTATTATTTTTGATTGAACAATTGAACTCTCGTCAAGAGTTCTTTTTTTTGTAATTTCCGCCCATAAAGTTGAAGAGGATACTATAACATTTTGTAATATTTTCAGGTTTAACATGGGATGCGTACTATTCGTTTGACGATATCTTATTGTTTTTGGACAAATTAGTTGAAAAATACCCGAATTTGTGCTCTCTCGAAACGATCGGATACTCACACGAAAATCGACCATTGAAAGTTTTAAAGTACGTAACAAATAACATATCAAAATTGCTGAAATATTTTGTTCATTAATGATTATTTTGCAATAGAATATCGAACGGAAATTCAGGAAATAAGGCCATTTGGATTGATGGTGGAATTCATGCACGTGAATGGATTAGCCCGGCATCGGTAACATACATTGTGAATGATTTGGTTGAAAATTGGAACAATCAACCTGCATATATTCAAAATGTGAATTGGTATGTGTTGCCAGTTCATAACCCAGATGGATACGAATACACCCGCAAATCCGATCGTATGTGGCGTAAGAATCGCTCAAAGAATAACAATAATCACTGCTTGGGTGTTGATTTAAATCGCAATTACGGTTACAAATGGGGTGGAAAAGGAACATCATCAAACCCATGTTCGGAGATATACGCTGGAAGTGGTCCCTTCTCAGGTTAGTTATACCAACATATTCTTTCATAATATCTCAAAGTTGCTTCAACTAATTGAATTGAACTAATTTCAGAACCTGAATCAACTGCCGTCAAAAATTTCGTAGAAACTTCCGAAGAAAATTTTGATGCATTCCTTACCTTCCACAGTTATGGTCAATGGATTTTATATCCATGGGGTTATGAAAACCACATTCCAACTGAAGACCGAGATGATTTGGATTCAGCTGGCCGACAAGCCGCAAAGGTGAAATAAAAACAATTTAACGCGAAAAAAATACAATTTAGTGTATGGAGAATATATTTATTTGCAGAGTATGAAAGCTGTTGACAAGCAAGTTTATACCGTCGGCAACTCAGCAGATTTGTTGTATGCAGCTGCTGGTGGATCAGATGATTGGGGAAAAAGCGTTGGAATTAAATACAGTTATACAATTGAATTGCGCGACAAAGGACGTTACGGATTTGTTTTACCGCCCAAATATATATTGGCCACTGCCAAAGAGGCCCATGCATTTGTTTTTACTTTTGCACAAATTATTGCCGCCAACTAAATGCAAAATTACTCATTTAATTCGGTCGTTATTAGATACATTTTGCCTGCAAATCGAAACAATACCGAAATGAAATGTTTTTTTCTTTCTTTGTAGTTTTAAAGCATTTATTTTTATTCGATGCTTCTAATCCGATTTGATAAATTTAATCAATTTGTTTGCATATTATCACAATTAAAAAATTAAAATAGAACAAAATTGAAAGCTACACAAAGTTGTTGTTTTGTTTTTTCGATAGAGTGAGTGAGAAAAGTTTGGAACCATTTATCATTTGCTGAATCTTAACGTATATATCTACGGTCATTGTATATTTTTCTTTAAATTTGGCCAAATGAGCTAGAGTCGTTCACCGTTTCGATTGTGACGCTTTCCTGCGAATTAAATAAAAATGTCAATAATTCAGAATTTTGTACAACTTTTAGATGATTTCATTACCACGTTGGTTGCAGTATCGACCGAAAAATCCTTTGTAACATTTACATTTGTTGTGTGACATACATATCCCATGACCGCATGGCTTTTTACAAGTACCTTCCAAACGCTGTGAATTTTCCACCTCACAATGGTCACCAGCAAAGCCGTCAGGACATCGACATTTATTATTTCCATTGCACTTTCCGCCATTTGAACAGGGGATTATGCATTTTGCTGCAAACCGAAACTGAGTTATTCATCGACTGTGGTAAATCTTACCATTTTTAACTTACAAAATTGGCAATGAGACCCATAAAATCCTTTTGTACATTGACACTTGTCCTTTTGAATACATTTGCCACCGTTTAAACATTTCTGCTCGCAAATTCCACCCTCGCAATGTCTACCCTGATATCCTTTTGGGCACGAACATACTGCCGGTGCTGAACAAAATCCACCGTTCATACATTGCGGATAGCACAGTGCTGTTTGACAATATTGTCCCATATACCCTTCTGGACATTGACAGATCTTATCGTGATTACACCATCCTCCGTTTGCACACTTTTTATTACATTCTGGATCGGGCGCTTCTCGTTTAGATAGCATTTTATGTTGGAAAAAATTGGTTAAAAGAATGGTTCCTTTTGCGAAATTTTGATCTCCAAAAGGATTCACAACAACAATTTTCCGATTTCAATCGTGGATTTTTCTTAAAATGCCCGAAAACAAATGTTTGTGTAGTTTTCGGTTTTTGTTTGAATGAATATTGTTGAATCTTTTAAAGATCATATAAAATGGACATTTTTCTTTCATAATTTAAATCCTAGCTATATAAAAACAATCTGCTAAGAATAAATCAAAATGCTTAACTTAAGAACGTTGCTTGTAAATGCAAAAAAAAATATGTTTGAAGCGATTATAAAATATGCAAGCGATAAGCGTGTAAAAGTGTTTGTTATTTGCGGAGAAAGTGTGGAAAATTATTGAGTGAGTTCTTTTTGAGTCATAGAAATATCCAATGTGAAAAGATTGAGAAAATAGATGTAAGCATACCTTGCATAGAAGTTGAAAGTGAAGATCTATCATACACACCTCTCTGGGCGCATTCCTTACGCAAATTCAGCCTTAGCGGCGTACCTGGAATCGGCTTACCACGCGAAGTAATCAACAGACCAATGCTAAACATTGCAATTCCCGAACTATTATCCTTACATGGTAAGAAAACACTGAAATCTGACAAAAAATATCAAAAGTATCAATTGAGAAAAGACAATTTGGTTCATATATTTATTTCATGACGAGATAACATATGCTAAATTGACAAGACCGCAAACAATTCGTTTTCTTCATTAAATGTGAAAAAAGATTCAATTGAATTTGAATGACAAACCTTTTGCCTCTTGTGGTACCTTTCCTTTAATTCGAATCGAGACGGTTGGCGGTTTTAGAATGGATTCATCAAGCGATTGCAATCGATCAAAATGGTAATAATACTTTTTTGTGCCTGATCGCCATGTAAAATTGACGTTGGTCAATTCAGATGGTATAATTGGTAAATTATTGTTGAAATTTGGACTTATCAAATGCATCGAAACGCTACCATTGTAAATTGCATAGACTTTCATCGAATAACCTAAATTGGAACGAAAATTCGGTTTTCAAATAAAGCAAATGAAATCAACTGATTTTTACTGCACTCACCACTGAATCGTTTCACTTGTGCTTCGCTAATCCAAAGCGATAAATCATTATCATAATCGGGATACGTTGAATATTTACGGGTGTGTTGATGGTTTTGTCGTGCCAACGAATTCGATGCCAAAAATATCGCACCAATAACCAAATACATTGAGATCAAATGTTGAAACTTGTTCATTTTGGAAGCTAAAATAAAAAACAATGAGATCATTCGTGTTTTAAAATTTGAGTGAATTCAATGAGTCCGAATGTATGAAGTAAAATAACATAAGGAGACAGAAAGAAAGAGAGAGAGAGAGAGAGAGAGAGAGAGAGAGAGAAAACGGCATAAAATGCTCAAATGTATTTGTTCGATCGTTCTTTTAAGTCAGAAAACCATAAATTATGCGATAAATTGTGTGCCGTTGATATACCAAAAAAATCACATGGTACCAGAAACAATATCATTTCCACAAACGAACACAACTACAACGCAGCACCAGCAACAGTAACAACAATGATCAATGGAGGAGAAACATACGAGAATGTATGCCAAAGTGAACACTTGAACACATAAACAAAATGATCATGTGTTTTTGCCTTCCTACTTTTTGCATTTTGGTCGTTTCAGTTGATCTCGGTTCTTTTTAGTTGGGTCTTCGTTTCATCTTTGCTCTGTTCTTTCTTCTTTATCTCTATCTATCTGTCTTTTCGTTTCGTTTGTTGAGCATCAGAATTTTCTGTTCGTGTAGCGTGCTTATGGGTATGATCGCAGTAAACGACGACAACCGGTCTGCTACATACAATTCCAAATTTACACAGAGCGTCTTTTTCATTCAAATCATATATATCGTCGACAATTCGAAAACCATGCAGAAAAATGTTTCACACGAAACGATGATGCATTTGGATTTGGTATATCAAAGTGCCCAACCGAGTAAACACTTTTTATTTCTGTTTTTTCAAAAGAATATTTTTGGAACTATATTTGCGCAAACAAAATAAAAATTCGATAATATGTTTGGGAAAAAATGAGAAAGAGCAACACTGCTTTTAATGGCGCACAAATGTCCAAAGTGAATTCCAACTTTGGTAGAATAGTTTTCGTTTTGTTTGTTGTTGTTATGAACTGAAGTAGTTGCTCTGATTTTTCTGCTTTGACGATTATGACGAGAAATATTATTTCAATCAGATTTTTCCGTGAATCGTCCGAATAAACATCGAATAACGATCCTTGTGATTTATTAAGTTATAAAATTGGCTTGAGAGAATGTTTGTGCTGTACAAGTGTTTTCGGTAAGCAAAATCTGATTTATTACGCTTCGTTTGAATGGGGCTAAGCAATAAAATTCCAAAATAGAATCACTCGAAAAATAGAATTTCCAATGCTCACTGAACGAAAAAATTCGTCTTTTTTAAAATTTAGATGTGCATGAGAGCCACATTTCGTCATTCGAAATCAAGAGGGAACGAGAATGAAGAGAAGAGCTATGTTCAATATATATATATATAAAGTGCCGGCGAAAAAGACTCAAATGGAAAAAGTCATGTAATGCAATAATAAAAACAAGAGCTTGTAAATACATGTCATATATTTGGTATTTTGACTCGCCCAGCCAGTGAATATAAACAAACGAATAAAAATTGTATGCTCAGCAACAAGCATCGTTCGTCAAGTGTATTTGAAATAGTATTTATGAACAAATTGACAGAAGTGGACTTTGCTGACATTTTATTCACATAAAATCCGATTTACTCAAGATTTTCGACGAAGAAAATAAAAGTTTTACGGTTTTGAAACACAAAAAAAGATGGATTTTTGTTTCATATATAAAATGCATGTGTATAAAGTAGAACACTGACACCGAATGAAAAATATAATATTGAGTTGCACTCTCTCTGTTGCATTCATCAATACAAGTCTAGTTATAGCTGCGCTGCATCCCGATATATATGTAACACACGCACACGCATAAAACAATTTTTCTTTTTCGTACAAGCACTTCCATCAATATTCAATATAATGGAGTTTCTGGAAACATTTGGTACAGTAAAAATCCTCTTTATTTTGTGTATATTAATCGTGTATCTAAAATTAGGTTTATAATCGTCAATATTTGATGCATACTCGAAAATGCACATGTATATACATCACAAATGTCTCGATTACCTTCAAACTAAATTATGCACGGAAATTCTTTAGTATAAAATTGGATTGTAGCTTTCTTTGTTTGGATATTTAAGACTTTACATTGCGCTAAAGCAAAACAAAAACCACTTGTTTTCACACCGAACTTTGAACTATACAAATAGAAGAAGATGTAAACTTATTCGAACAGACGATCGTTAAATGTAGCAAGAGCAAAAAAAAATCAAAGTACTGCATCAATGAATGTCTCCAGATCAACTGAATCACACAGACAAAGAGAAGCTTGGGCTGAGTACCATATTCACTCTGTTCAAAGTGAGTTTGATCGTTTTTGTGCCGGCGAAAGATAAAACAAACAGAAACGACAACAAACACACTGCTGCAGAAGGGGAACGAACAACAACCATAAAAACAAATACTTCGAATAATGAGTGATTCTTGAGACCGTTTTTTTTATACTCAAACTATCAAAAACAACTCAAAACAGATGTTAAGTTCGTAAGAAAACTTTAAACAAATTTTAAACTTTTTGATTACTTGATGGAATTATACTTGATAGTTAAATACATATGCGATTTTTTTTTTCTCGGCACAACGAATGAGAGATGGAAACAGTTGCATACATTTAAATACAATTTAAATACAAAATCGATATTTGCAGGCAGTTTTTATCCTTTTTTCACGGAAACCGTTTTCAATTGAATGCATAATTAAAAGGTAACGCTCTCTGCCATCAAAGTCTTGTTATTTTTGGAAATAAAATCCAATTTTAGATTAAGAGTAAAAGAGCAAAAAAGCATTCCCAATCAATTCAGTTAAAATAAATTTAATGGCGACTTTACTGGACAGTTTGATATTTGATGTGAATGTTGACATGAACGAGGGTAATCCATTTTCAGTCGGCGGTCCGTTGCTATTTAAATTTTATATTGAATTTGGATGTTTTATTCTGCTGCAGCTGCTGCCATCTAAAAATAAACAAACAGCTGATCCAGTCGCAAGAGTAAGTAAATAAATGGACACAACTAAAGTATTACGTTTTATTCAAATGATGTGTTTAAAATCTTTGGTGATTTTACATTTGCGGCATTATTGGAGTGTTACATATGGAAAACTACTTCATAGCTCATTGAACTTTATTGTAACATCTTTCGTTAATATTTCTATCAATGCCAATTTTGTTCAGATTTTTTTTTTTTTTTGAAAAATTGAGTAATACTTTCGGTTTTTTATAAGTCGAAAAAATCCTACTCAAATACTGATTAAACATAAACAAAAAAGACCACTCGAGTTTTCAGCCTTAAAATATATGTTAGATAAAACTGTATACATCTAATCGATCTTGATCATGTGTGTGGTAAAAGGTTTCTATTTTGTTTTCAAAATCTTGCCGCGATCTCCCTTTGACAGCATTGAAACTGGTCCAGTGGCAATACAAAAAGTGTTGCTCGATGAATTGACATCAATTGTTATGACATTTATGATAAAGACCAGATAAAGCATCATCATTGTCTCTGTTTCTAGAATGCAACAAAAATAAACACAGTGATCGCCGATGAGTTTTATGTTAATAAATTGAATTTTATGCAAATAAAACAGCAAGGAACATTTTTATTACACTGTGATTCGTACACGTTCATGTACTCTAGAGTAGCTACAACCTACAATACATTGTTAATTCATATGAAAAGTAGAAAATATTCAAGTTATTTAATTCAAGCACAACAGCACAAATGGAATTTTAGAGGGTATATTTTTACTTGAAACATTTTCTTATTATTATTATGCGCGTCAACATTCTTGAAATTTTTCGTTTCTTTTTAGAAAAAAAAAAATATGGTCAGTGGAATGTTCATATTTTCTCAAGCGATCGTAAAATATTTATGACCACAGTATCATTGTGAAGAACTTTACTGAGAAACAAACCAAGCATATTACATTTTTTTGTAATCTTATTCCTTTCTTCGGACTGTTCACCATTCTAAAATCATTAATATAAATTTTCGTTAACGAATGAAAACACTGGAAATTTAAATTTAAAAAATGTGGAAATATTTAACAAAATGGCAATAAAAGTGCCTATTTTCGGCTATTGGCATTAAAAAAAAGTTATTATCAATGTGTATAACACTCTTGCTTTTTAACCATATAATTTCTAGTTTCGTAAAAATACATTGCTTCCCGTTCAAAATCAATGCAGTTAAAGTCCTTCATTTTCAAAATGTATTCAATTTCAAAACCACATAAATCGATTGTCAATTTGAGTGCGGCACTAATGAGCTGCGTTCAAAATGTTCCACATCGATTATCTTATACACATCCAAACGATAATTGACTGGATCAGCCGATCTGCGTGCTCCGCAATCCTCAAAGATTTTTAAAAAGATTTCGCGTACATTTTCAATATTGGCTGTGGCCGATAAATCGTTGAAATATTCACGTTGAAGTGGTCCAGCTATGGAATGTCCATTTTTCTTTGGCCATCCAAGTGCCAATCGTTTTTTAAGTTGGTTTGTAGAATCGGCAAGCATTTCTTCTTGAGGTGGTAATGTTGCATTTCCATTCAAATATTGCATGAAAAATCGTACCTAAAAGTAAGTCAATGTTTTATGATATTATTGTGTGCGAACGGAAATAAACACTACTTGAATTTCAATCATATGTGTAATGGCTGAATGAAAAACGTATCCAATCACTGCCATTGTTGGATGTATAGCGTTAATGCAATGCTTATAAAGTGGAAAAACATAGTTGTTGTCAATGAGAAGGCCACATTCGTCACTGGCAAAAGGCATCGTAAATTCATAACCTAGGGTAAGAAAAAGTTCAATGTGAAAAAGTTCCGTAATTTATCTATGTTCCACATATAATGTGGTGAATTTACCTGTGCAAAATACAATGTCTGTTATATCAATTTCAGAGCCATCGGCAAATACTGCGCCGTTCTTTGTGAACCGTTGAACTGATCCTTTTCTCACCACATTGGATGGATAAACATGATTGGGATTATGTGTATGATGGCTAAAAACAACTGTTTTTGCACATTTCGATATAGCATTACATAAATCAATACCGCTAGGGCCTGCGCCAATTATGACTACAGTTTTGTCTGTAATACAATATCAGAAATATTTTTTTTTTGTTCATGTGAATCACAGACAAAATCGATTTCAATATGACTGATTACCTTTGAATGCTTCGGCTCGTCGATAATTGTGACTGTGCATGTGATGTCCTTGAAATTCATTCAATCCTTCAAAATGCGGTTGAGATGGTACGCAATTGTGTCCATTGCATACAAAAACCGCATCAAATACATACGTTTCGATGTTATTTGTTGGTAAATTCTTTACACTTATCTAATATGAATCGATGATGACATGATAGGAAGCAATAAGTAAAATTGGCCCACATGATTTATTCGATTTTTATTCACCTTCCATTTGGTTGTCTCGAATGGTCTCACTTGGATTACATGATGTTTGAATTTTATCAGTTCGTTCAATTTGAAGTGTTCGGCATAAGATATCAAATATGATAAAACTTCGTTTGATGAAATGTATGAACTTGATGACGATGGCATCGGAAAATCACGGAATCCCATTATTTCCTTTGGCAGATTTGTTCTGATATCAATATGATATTATCGAATGCATATAAAATAAAACCACAAATATTTTATAGTTGCAAAAGTAATAAAATTACCGCAGATTGTGATACATGCTTGTGTGAATATTTAGTCCATATTCGTCGACACCGATCGATTCTCGATAAATCCATGTTCCTCCAATTTCATTGCATTGTTCGAATACAGTGACTGTGTGACCGGAATATTTCGCATATTTCGCAGCACACAAACCAGCCAAACCAGCACCAACTATAGCTACATTCAATTTTGCCATTTCAAAGGCCACTGATAGTGCCAATTGCACACCCACACAAATTGTATTATTATTTTAAAATGGAAACTAATGTGTAATGCGTAATGTGCAATCTAAAAGCAGGTAAATCTGAAATTCAAATGAAACGGTCACAAAATTGGTTGTTGAAACATATTTATGGTGTTTTATTCTTATCATACAATCCACTCTGATACAATTTAAATTACGCGGTTGAACGAGTGCTTTCGACGTAAAGATAATTTTTTCTAAAAAATTCACAAATTTAATACTTTTCCACTTATGAGATGAACTAAATAAACAAAATTCTTTCTTTTTCAATCCATTTCAAATGAAAAGTTTCAAATAAAATTTAAAAATCACCTGTCAATTAACGATAATTATAAAAAACAATTGGTAACAATTTATTTTAGAAATTCAATTAGTTTGCAATGCAACTTAAACAGTAAACTAAACGTTGACAACTACAGCTGATTACTGTCACTTTGACGTAAATATCATAATATTTATATAAGAAAATGTCTTAAATCACATACCCTATCTTATCTCAATGGTTACTAATTCATTTCGCTACGATTATATTACGGTTTATTCTTATTGATATTAGCCCAAACGATTTGATTGCAATTGTGTTTTGTAATTTAAAAAGAAATAGTATATTTTAATCGTTAATTCAAGTGAGTCTACTCACTCAAATCATAAATTGCCTAACGTACGGAGTATTTGAGCCCATAAATTTTACCATCATCATTCTCTACATCATAAAATGAGTGCTAACTGCGATTGTTCGTTCATTTGAAATTCGAATGATATGATAAGCGTTAAAAGGACTCACAGTGCTCTTAATAGATTCTTTATTTGCAGCCAAATGGATTTTATGGTAATTTATTGTCAGTGCTCGCAGCATATTTTCTAACTAAATTAAATGGAATGTTTGACGATTCAACATTTTTATTTGCCATCTGTACAGACCGTCAATGTTATTTCTCTCATTTATCCACACCGAATGCGGAGAAGGGGTGAAGGCGGACAACGACAAAAAATTGTATAAAACAAAATGAAGATGAGTGAAAAACAAGAACAATTTTATAATAACATAACATATACTTTGAAATAAAACTGCTTTGGGGCAGCAATTGAGTTGCTGTTTGGCTTTTGTGTTTTCTGAGAGATGTATATATTTCCGAGAAATGGTTTTATTCGATTTGCAGTGTGGTCGCGAGAATTTAACGAATTTAATATTTTCTCAACTGTTAAAAGATTTGTCAGCCGGCGCAGAATATATGCATTTTGTATAAATTGAACAGTTTCGTTTATGTTTTTCTTTAACCGTTTTTATTCTGCTGTCGTATGTGTGTGTGTGTGTCGTGCGTCTTTTCCATTTTAGCCAGCTCTGTCTCTATCTCTATTTTTTTTCATTTTATTTTCAAGACCATTTCACTTGTTGTTTGTTCGCTTTCGCTTACGGGTTTTGATTCAATTAACATTGTGTCAGCTTTGCAAACCGGAAAGAAGCATAAAATGAATAAATCTCGGTGTACGAATGAGCAAGTATAAACAGAGAAGAAAAAAAAAGAGAAAGAGAGTGAAAAAATGCGACATAGACGGCCAGAAATGAAAATATGAAGAAAAATGTAGGAAAAAAACTGGTAATAATTTTAACGGACTTATCGCTTACGCGGTCAACTCCACATCCGATTTACTTTATTTGAAGCCAGCATGCAATTCACCAAGCTCGGCTATAGTATATCGCATTCGATGTAAACCAGAAAAAGGAAGCATTTCGAAATGTATGGCTGCAACGTTTTGTGTCGTGCGAAGAAGGGAGCAGCAAAAAATTAGATTACGACAACATTGCTTTGAACGTTTCTTTTTTTTATATCATTTCAACAGCTGGATTTTGAATTATTCTCTTTGTTTGAGTTCGTTTTTTTGTGATCATAAAGAATTTCCAGCAATTTGTTGAGATTTTTTTCTCATTTGCATATTCAGCAAGCTAATTTTATTTTAATAAAATTGATTAAAGTCAACAGACGCAAACGACCAAAGGGAAACTGTTTCGTCGTCGTTGTTTTGAACAGAGCTGCTTCTTATTCTCACTCTCTTTCTCTTATGAATCTGTGTAAAAACAAAAAAAGCGTCTTGTTTTCAACGAAACAACGTTTAAAAAAATTGCTGCAAACATTGTCAAAAATGAAGTAGTTAGTCCTTGAAAATAAACGTTGACAAGAACATGAATGTTATGCATTGTCGTCACATCAACGAAGTGCTCTTGATGATGGTGTGTTTGCGTGGCGAAGCGAAAATAAATTTCCCTTCTGTTCAGCAGATCGGAAGTGTTAACATTTGGAGCTGGGAGCACACACACGCAGAGTCTCATTTATGCATTTATCGTGACGCGTTATCTAGTGGTGTACTTTTTTTCATCATCTATCTGTGTTTTGTCATGTGAAAGAAAGACTGAAAGAGAGAGAGAGAGAGAGAGAGAGAGAGAGAGGAGAGAGAGGGAACGGGTGGCTGAGCGCGTATTGTTGATGCGCGCAAAGTGTGAACGGGGATTTTTCTATTTCATTGTTGTGTCTTTATTACATAATCTTCCATGTTTTCATATTTTTTCATCTCTCGACATTTCATTCAGCGACAACTAAACCTCATTTATCTTCCGTCTACGTCCCGTACAAGCTCTCTCTCTCTCATTCTTTCTTTTTCATCATATCTTCTATTTGTTATTTTTCGTTTTCGCTTCGGATATGTGTTTGTGGTGGAATTCGTTTCCTTTTGCATTGCCATTATTCAAAGCAAAGAAAAAAAATTATGTTACAATAGAAAATATGAAATCTAACGCACATGAAACGCTTTAGAAAACATTTGATTAATAGACGATGTGCAAAGAAATCTTGTGCATTTTCATGGAATCCTATGATGGGCGAATGCACTGCAAATCCATTTCTCAATTTCATTATTATACGAGTCGTGTTATTAAATATATTCCATTAAGAGAAGTATAAAAAAGCGAAGCAGTTTTTTTCCAACATAAATTATAACGTATAAGAGACAGGGTGGGGAGGATTGATGGAATGAAACAGTAGTAATAGCTAATTTCAAGCAGATCAAAAATTGTACTTCATTTATTTTAATTGCAATTTTGTTAATTGAAATAACATGTATGCAGACGGTTTTTTATTTGCTTTTCAAAATAGATTCATCAGACGGGATTATAGTTGTATAAGAAAAGTGCGGACAGTTCATGAAAGCTTTGCTGTCACTGCTGTTTATTCCGTCTTTCATGCAGCTTAAAATAAATACTCTTGTAATTTGAACGACTTTCACCTGATATCACTTGTATGTGATTATTATCATGGGATTTTCAAAGATTTTCACTGATTCCTCCATATATTCTCATCAATATTGAAAGAAAAATGCACAGCTTTTATTTTGTATCTTTGTGAAGCAATTCAATGTACGATTTTACTAATGTCAGGCGTATGAATGATGTTTTAAGCTGGGTAATCATTCCATTCGGATAACCTGTCGAAATTATTCTCCATTATGTGCACACGCTAACCGTCGCCGTTGATTTTTTTCCCTTCATTTATACGCACACCGTTTTTAGCTACTGCTCTATACATGCTTTGTGTGTATTTGGTTCAACAACATCAATTGTCCTTGCACAAATACACCAAAACGAATGGGTACATCAACATTTGCAATGAGCACGAGAATATTTTGCCATTGCCTTTTGAAATGTTGCGTTTGCTAGCATTTTCTTGCTTACTGTGCATTGTGATAATAAATTATTGCTTATTGCATTAAATGAGCTGAAAGCTTTCGTCTCTCAATGCTCTTACCACTTGACTTTTCCAACAAACAAACACGAACAAGTCCGTACGAGAACCGTAAACTGTAGCAAAATTGGAATGATTTTCTCCCTTTCTGTACCATTTCAATTGTGTGTGAGAGTGTGTGTGAGAGAGAGAAGGAGAGTAAAAAAGCAAAAATGATGCATTGACCATCGCAAAGCATAATAATAATAATATCATACATTTTGTTTGTTTTCAGTTGAGATTTTTCGCATGGTACATCGCCATTATTTTACTGCCACGAAACTGAATTAGAACGAAATGACCTGAATAAATGAATTTATGCGAGCAAAGACTCTTTTTCATTTCTCTTTGTTTCACTTTCGAACAAAAAAAATTAAGAGAAAATTTTCAGACCACGAAATAGGCCACCATTCAATGATGCATGAAATTGCTAAAGAAAAATGAAAAAAAAACTGACCCTAATACCTACAAGTACTACATCAAATCATCAGTTCATAAATGGAGTTTAAATTATTCACAATACGTTTGATTTTATAGGTCAAGAGACTATCATTCAGTGCTTGCATTTTGTGTTTGTAATATTTAATTTAATGGGCATTTACAATACTTTATACAACAGTATATCCTATTACGTCAAGTGCTTCGACAAACAAACCGTTCGCATTTTGCTTAATGTAATGTTTGTTTCTTTCTACCAATGTACATAAGAAAACTTGACATCATACAAATATCTAATGGGTTCTTTGAAATGAGAGGAAAACATCTAATAATACGTTACTGGCTGCTGTTGCATTCGTTAACAAGTGCATTTTAATGAACTTTAACTACCTGCTTATGGCATAGTGGGATGCTTTATTTCAATTATGGTTATGTTTTAAAACTATTTCTTTTCAACATTCTTCTATTGAAGGTGCATTCGCATGGCTTCATTGGATAATTCTAAATTTACATTTTGTTCAGAATAATTTAATTCAAAAATATCGAAGGGGAAAAAATGTCAATCATGCATTGCATTATTCCAAGTTGAAATTTTCAACATACTATGAAAAACATCAATAATAAAAGACAAAATTGGCAATATCAATCAATTTATTTTTATTTTATTTTTTCCTTCCGGAATAATGATTATATTTACGAAATGAGCACATATTTGAAAAATTGTTGGTTTTCGATTAACCTATACTTATCACTATTAATATAGTATCTCGAGCCAATAAAAGCACGTTTTTGTAGCAGCTATATAACAGTCTATGTATTTCGGATGGATATCCATCCGAGATATTTTAGAATATCTGGATATTCAACGCAACTGCACAGAGCCAGAGCTGTGTGCGTCGCACATATAATCTACGGTATGTCGCTACACGTAAAATACAGACACAGTGTGACTGTGTACGTGCGACA